GCACCCACCATAATAGAAAATTGGGAACAGAAGTCCTCTTGGTGGCTTTGAATCCTCTTGCTACTATTTACAACCCATGTAACCTCTCCATGTCTCACAACCCTCATCTGCAAAATAGGAACAACGATAGGACGTAATACATGCAAACTGCTTCAACAGTGCCTAGATCACAGGAAGTAGTCAGTGCTACTCACTGTTATTCTTTGTTGTCCACAAAAGAAATCTTAAGAAACCTAAGAGAGAAGGAAAAGAGGCAAATTATACTTCTTCGCAAGTATCCAACCCAGCTGTGGAAAATCAGACAAAGAAATTCAATTTGCATTGATTTCAAAGCTATATATTCCTTCTGGGACCTGTATTAAGCCCAAGAAGGTTTGACCCACTTGTATTCATCACCGAAGGCTGAGCTCAGACCGGTAAACGTGATCAAAACTGCCTCCCCAGCCCTCTGTGGGGAATACACGACTCCAGATCTTCTAATTTAGCTTGAGCAATGCTGTTTTTTTAAACTCTCCCCCTTTACCTTCAACCTCCAAAGAGGCAGTCTTCAGAATGTGTTAACAAGGCTGCATCAGGTGGCTTCAACTCCCCTCTCCCTGCTGCTAGCCACTGCAAAGCCCAGAAGTGCTTCAGATGGAAGCTGGGTTCCGTGCTTTCATAAGGACAATACAGCTCTGCAGAGATTGAGCCTTCTATTGGGATTTGGAGGATGGCGTGGGGAAGGGAACCACATCATTTAGCATCAGAAAACGCTACAGAGGGCATCCCCGTTTGCTAAACACTTTGTCTTATACCCTCTTACTTGGTCTTCATACGAATTTTGAAAAGTACTCAAGGTACAGATTTTTACCTCAGTTTTATGAAACAGGAAACCAGATGAATCCCAAGAAGAAGAGGAGCTTCAGAGAGGGGACATGCTTTTCTCAAGGTAATTCACATTGTAAGCACTTGAGCCAAATAGAACCCAAGACTGTGTGCTAATATCATATATTTTCCATTATGCAGACAATTAGTTCATCAGTCAATCATTTCATGGGAATATAAATAGACCTCCAAGTGCTTTGGGTCTGTACAGGTGAAAAGCACAGTCCTTGCTGTCAAGTAGTCTGCACAGACCAGCTGGGCAAATGAATGAGTGAATCGATGATAACAATTAAGGTCTCTAAACATCTCAAAAAAGTCACTTCAAGAATGTTTTTATTGCTTACCTCCAAAATCTGCTACAGGTCATATGCTATTCTAAAAACTATGATATGCAGAAATGATATTCAAAATAATTAACAAATGGTATGGCATAGGCAGCTGCCATCAACAGATGCTGGCGACAAACAGAACTGCTGACAAACAGATGGAAAGGGACAGTGCCTACCCTCAGGTGTCCATAATCTAGCAGGGTAAACAGGCAAAACAAATAAAATGGGCAACATACTAAAAATTAGAAAATGATGGTGTGGATGAGTCTGAAAGAGAAGGCCTTCCATCTGGATGTGAGGGTCATCAAAACTTTGTTAGAAGCAGCATTACGAAGGAAATCTCAAAACAAACAAACAAACAAAAAAGCAAAGGAATTAATTCGTCATGGCAATAAAGCAGGGTTCTTCCTAGGGAAGTGGATGTGCAAATGCTTGGACTTCTAAATTATTTCTTTAAAAATTTTACTTGAAAGTTTTGAGTTGCAGTAATCCTTGGGAATTGCCCACTTGGTAACCAGGACACTAGGGTTCCGCAGGGAAAGGGAATTTCCCAAAGTCACACAGCAAGTTGATGCAGCATCAAGACTTGGACAGTCAACCAATGCTCGCCACTCTGCTGTGCTGACCAGACATGACTTCTTGGTTGATGGTGCAGCTAAATTGCCATAGTCCATCTGTCAGAGAAGCTCTCATATGTCTTGCCACATACTCCATACAGTCTTTGAGCTTTTTTTTAAATTGTCCTTTGTGGTCTAAGGAAAAGTGAGAGCAGATGGAAAAGAAGACCACTCAAGAAAGATCTGCAGGCAAGTTGGGAAACCTTGACTCTAACGAAATGCATTTAATTAAATGACTGGCCCACTGTGTGGGATGAGAGATCTATCTTGGCTTTGGGAAAGATTTCTGGTAATTATGGAGTCACATGAGATTTCTGAACTGGAGTTAGCACACCAGATGAATCCCAAGAAGAGGAGGAGGAGGTTGGGAGCAGTGAAGGAGTACATAATGAGAGTAGGAAGCAGGAGATTCCATGGGGAAGTGGACACTCAGCTTCCTCAGCACTAGTCCTGGCCAAAATTCCACTCACTGGTTGTTCTGTCTGGAAGAAAAAGTATTACATGTAACAGACCATTAAGGAAATGAGAATGATCTCACCTGAGGCAAACCCCACATTCCTCTGGCCTCCAAACCACAGCCTCCACCAGCAACTCCTGAATGAGAATTGCAAACAAGCAACAACAAAATCCATCTTTGGCAGGAAGCTCTGTGCAGAGGTGGTGTTTACACGCATTCTGCCCTCTCACATGGAAAAAAGTGCTTATGCTTCTGAGAAGGATGCAACCATGAGGGATCAGATGCCAAGAGATATGGCCTCTGCCAAACAGGAGGATAAATGGTTCTTAATTTCCATAAACATTCTCTGCTGTAATGTCTAGTGTGGTTTGGTTGCTCAGTTCTGACTGTGACAGTTTTCTTCCTGGAAAACAGGCATAGTGGCCTCAGGCAAGTCATTCTTCCTCTCAGTGCCCCATTTTCTGATCTGTGCAATGGAGGCATTGAACACAATAATCCAGTTTCCGTTCAGGTTCTATGGTTGTAAAAGGAAGAATTTAATAATAAAGCACAACATGTCAAACATTTATTTGTTCCTCCATTACTTCAGTCATTCTATAAATATTTGCTGAGCTTCTATGATATACAAAGCCCTATGCCAAGCACAGAAAAAGCAAGTGTGATCACCAGCCTTGGGCAGCCTAGAGTCTAGGAGGAAAATCTAGACACACACATGCATAATTATACCATGTAGATGCAATGAATGTCCTAATAGAGTTACAAATGCCATATTGCGTGGGAGCATTTCTTCCTAGATGGAAGTCCATCTAGGAAGCACTGTAGTGAAGTCGGATGAGAATTGATGATAAATAGATGTGAGGACATGGAGATGAGGATCCTAGGGCATCCCCCTAGCATGAACAAAGGTTGAGGTATTGTAGACTACATGGAACATATGGACCCACCTACCAGAAACAAAGGCTGAGAACAGTACAAGGATGGAAAACACGTCCTTGTCTGGGCCTTCCTTACTCAAATGCCAAAAAGCTATGTATCTTAAGATGCCACATGGCTCTTTGGAGAAAATGCCTTTTACAGGCAACCTCTCCTAAAAATGCATAAATCATCTCTTCCCTATGTTATCAGAATATACTTATATGGTAGTTGTTAATGCATAATCGTATTCTTGTTTGTCAGCTCCACTTGGGAGCCAGCCTGGTCATATTTGACTTTAGTTTCCCTGTGATTGGCTATGCTACTTGTGGTAGACACTAATCAATGATTGTAGAATCCTGAGAGAACTGGGGAGAGGAGTTCGAGTGTGGGACATTCCCTGAAAAAGCCACATTTATCATCCCGTTTACTAGCATGCTCTCGTCTTATTTAAAAATTCATACAGAATTATAAATATATATTGACTATATGTTATATACAAATATAGTTTATATACCATATGATGTGTATGATACACTATTCTAATATTTTACTGCCAAACCCAAGAGATTAACTCAATAGCCTTAGGAAAGCCAAGAGGTGTGGAAGCACTCACTGCTGGTTGAAACACAGCTTCATGCTACTGAAATATGCTTTGGCTAAAGCACAGATTTTAAAACTTCCCAAACAACCAACATTTGAATCAGCCAAAATGGATCAAAAGTTCAAATGAGCGGTTTTATGACATGACTATTTATGGGCTTTCTTGCTGTCTGGGAGGGTCATTTTAGCAGAGAATCTTAAAATACTACACAGCCAAAGCAACCATAGGATGACCTAATCTTGTTTTGCTTTTTGTTTCTTTCAGATGGAGAAACTGAGGCCCACAGCAAACAATAATAACTGTGGGGATGCTATCATTTAACGTCGAAAATAAGTGGATAGTTGAGATCTCCATTATTAGCAGTTTTTTTTTTTTTTTTTTAAATCAAAGATCTCTCCTAATTAGCTTTACGGAACAAAGAAATATATTTCCCATATTCAAATATGGCTGTAGTTTCCAAAAAAATGGTGTTAACAGTCTAACACGGCATAAAACATTGTTTAAATATCATCCTTCCCTATTCCTAAACAGTAACGTGTCATAGAACTCTGGAGCCCACTGGTCTAATAGAAACACTTCCCAGGTGTTTTCCCTTGGAGTTTCATTACTTCTCTAAACCTCAGTTTTCTTCCGTAGAAAGGAGACACTTGTGCCTATCCTACTTCGTGGTTGCAGGGATATAATAAGATAGTGAATAAAAAGAGTGTTCATAAAGTGCTCTGCACAGCACCTTTGTTATAGACTTAATAAGAGAGGGCTCAATAGTAGTTGCAGGTTGGATTACATTTGATGTTTCATTTTCCCTCCCTGTCACAAACTGCTATGTTCTGCCACAAGCTCAAAAGTCTCTAGGCATGGGTGATGTGCCACTTCTCCGCTCCCTTAAACGCCCCTGTGTGCCCTGCGGATCCTCAATGCATGCTAACCACCCAACGAACGGATGACTCAGAGCTTGGAAGCAATCCAAAGCAGGCTGGAAAGCAAAGGCGCGGCTTAGGGCTCAAGGATTAGGTTGTTACCTTTTTAAATAATTAGTTTTCTTTAAAGAAACGGCTGTGGGGGACGCCTTTCAGCACTGAGAGAAAACCTCAGAAACCCTTCCCCCTGGAGATCCAGCTGAGAAAACCACACCAGGCACAGGGCACGAACAATGTCAAAAAGCTACCGCCCTGTAGGACGCTGGGGCTGGGACAAAGTTGCCTCTGAGCAGCTGGGCCAGGCTGGCTCCCACTTAAGAAATGCAGGGCTGGTGGGAGCGCTCCCCACCTGCTGAGAACGAATCCTGGGTTACCTCTCTGCTGGCCCGGAGAAACCTGAACCGCCCCAGGCTTTTGAAGGGCTTTATCTCCTCTTTCCAGGAACTGGGCTCAGTCCCTGTGCTCGCTCCGAGGTGCCACTGAGCAGCTGCTGCCCAGAGCCCAGGCGAGCCCTGGTCCCCCGTTTCCAGCTTGACCCAGCACAGGAGGGGAGTCGGGGCTGCGGACCTGCTCCCTCCTGCTCCCGGGTCCCCGTCTCACAATTAGAAAACCCGTGCGGGGAGCAGGGCAAGAATCACACTTAGCCGACAACGACTCGGGGTGGGGGGCGGGGAGGCAGGAATTCCTACTTTCGCCATAAATTGTATGCAAATGGGTTCCTTCCCTGGCCGAGAGCCAGGAGTGAGTGAGTCTTTCCTGAGCTAACCCTGTTCCGCTGGGAGGGCTGTTCCTTTAATTCGCCAGCTGAAAAAGTGGGAAAGGATGTCTGGAGGCGAGGCGTCCCATTACAGAGGAAGGAGCTCGCTATATAAGCCAGCCAAAGTTGGCTGCACCGGCCACAGCCTGCCTACTGTCACCCGCCTCTCCCGCGCGCAGACACACGCCCCCGCCTCCCGTGGGCACAAAGGCAGCGCGGCTGGGGGGCTCTAGGGGCCGCGCACCTGGGAACCGCCGCTGCTGCCCGCTCCAGGTACTTACTTCTTCCAAGGATCTAGGTCTGTCTCCCATCGGAAAGGTAGGTCTGTTTCTCCTTCATCCTTAGAGATCCTTATGATGTACGGATTGCATTCCTGGTACCACATGAGTTGTGGTTTTATATTATTATAAAACTTTGGGGTGTTTCTTTTTTCGCCGATGGAAAAAAATAGGAATATGTATTGGTTATGATCAGATGCACCTTGACTGTTCTGGTTTTGTAATTTTGTTTGTTTCGTAACTTTATGAATAGTCACACTTGGACGGAGCTTTTTGTAAAGTTATTAGCTCTGCTGTTCTGCAAAGGAGTAAGAATTCCCTCCTAAACTGCCCCCCTACCCCTAGCCTGGCTGATTCACCTGTGGAGATAGAGATAATTTTTATGTTGAGGTTAAGGAAGCAGAGTTTTAAGGTAAAGTTTGCTCACAGCCTGCCCCTGGGATGGGCTAAAGGGAGTCTGATAGAGGAGTGCAGGGAGAATACAAAAGTTTACATCTAAACAGCCCTTACATGAAGTTTACAAAGAGTTTTGTACTCATTCCCTCATTTGGTCCTCAAAATCTTCACCTTGGAGGTGAGAGTTGGGGGACAGAAGTGGGGACGTGGTTCCTGGCCAGGTGAATAACTGACAGGCAGCTAGAGAGTGGTGGAGAGCAGTTTTATGGGGGGGGGGGGTGCCTAGGGTGCCTGGAGCCCGCAGCATCCCACTTGTCTCTAGAATCACCAGCAACACTTCCCCCAGGTGTGGGAACCCTACTGCCCCTGATGTACCTTGGAAAGAAAACAGGAGTTCCTCTCACCCATCAGTGTTGTAAGGGAAATAAGAGCTTAGGTCTGAAGCCAGAGGTGTTTGATATTCTCCCCACCACCATGCATATGACCCTGAGAAAAGCACATCGCCTTATTTCTCAGTTTTTACATTCTAAAATGGGGACAGTGGCGTCTGCCGTCATTTTGAGGAGACAATGAGGTCTAGAAAGATCGGCAATGACTGCTCACCACCTGGAAGTGTGGATAATCATTGTAATTGCCAAAATCTGCCATCACTCTGGAAGTTAAAGGAGGCACTTCGCCAATCTTGGCTCGTTTCTTGCATGTTGTTTCTCAGCCTGCCCCCAGCCCCCACTTTTTATCTCCCCCAATCTGAGGGTGAGACACTAGGCTGGCAGGTCTGAGACTTGGCTGTATTTTACAAGCAGGAGGTTGTGTTGGCACAGGTTGGAGAAAAGGTAGCAGCCCCGGGCTGGATGTAATTGTCAAATTCTGATTTCAGAATGTCAGGAGGTTTTGAGTTTAGGCATCTGCAGATTCTAAAGCTGACAGCTGTGAAGTACGATGCTGTTGGAAACTCTTTGGAAAAGCTCTCTGTCTGGAGGGAGAGCAGGACAGGGAGTCCCACTTGAAGAATGAATGCCTCTTTTTCATTTTTTGTGGACTTTTCCCCTTATTTTGTATAGAGCTTTCCCATATGTGCTTTAGAAATGAAAACTACTACCCACCTCAGCCAGGCAAGCCCAATTCAGGACTGAAGAAGATTTATTCAGTCCTAGATAAGCCAGTGAAGAGTGTCTGGCATTGTGTGTATACAAGCCATTTGCAGGAGATGGAAATTAGTGTGTTCTGGCCTTTTGCATTTCAGGAAGGTGACCGCTTTGGGGGGGAAGTGAAAGTTGCACAATATGAATATCCTCTGGTTTGCTCAAACAGGGGAAAGGATTGAAAGGGATGTCACCAAGCTCTACAGTCGCTAAATATTTTTTTCTCTATGCTTTGTTTTAAAAACCTAGCTTCTCTATTTTATCTCCCACTCACCTTCTCCTTCTCCACTCTAAGAAGTTACTAACCTTTAGCCCTCCGTTTTGTCATTCATATAAAGGGGATGACAAACTATGTCTCACAGGGCTCTTGCAACATTCAAATGACATGATATATGGCAAATTCTTGGCATAGTACCTGCCACATGTTAAGGTTTCAATAAATGGAAACTTTTCTTAGTTTCTCTGTTTATCATTTTACGAGGACTTTGTCCAAGATTAATGTCGTAAGATCATGATGATTATACTTATTTTTAATGATGAAAATATTCATTACATGAATTTAGGGCAAAACCCCAGTCATGACAGGTAAATGTAGGTCTGCTTTGGTTGAAGTGAGGTTACAGGGTCTAACACTTACACCTTTGCTCTTAGCCTCTGGGACATTGCCATGGAATCTTGAATAATACAAAACACAGTTACAAATCATGAAACCATGCTGTGTGCATTCTGGTTGCAATTCTGCCCTTCCACAAGGATTTTTGCCCCTCTGAGTCACCATCTATAACAGAAGAGCAAGTCCACAGATAGTGCAATAGGCAGGAATATGTATGAGAAATTGAAAAGGTTTAACAAAAGCAATTTTAAATCATTCTAATGACAATGATAGCAAAAATATATGATGAGCCTGCTTTCTAAACTGCAGGCCCTTTGTGGGATCATCGAACTAAAAATCCACAGCGTGTCTCTGAGGTATGGACTATACCTGTTGGACAAAGAGATGGCGTCAAGAACAGAGAGACTGAATAGCATTTCCAAGGTCCTGGAACTCAGAGTGATAGAGCCTGGTTTCACACCCAGGTCCCCGTGATCAAGTGAGAGGCACATTCTGTCGTGTTCCTTCTGAATGCTTCTCTGCTTCTTGCCTGCCTTTAGAAGGAAAACACTTCCTTTCTGACTAAATATGCCCCTCCAGGCAGACTGTGGCCACCCATAAATACAGCAGTAGCCTGATCATATAACCAGAATGGAATTTGGAAAGAGAATTCAAGCTGACAGAATGAAAAACATAGCCCCCTCAATCCTACCCTTTCTAGTACTTACAGTGAATTAAGAGCACCTATTCTCTCCTCTCTCTCTAGATTTCTATAGACATCTAGCTGCGCTTTCTTAAAAGAAAAAATAACCACTGGACTAAAGTGCAAGCCCCTTCATACTGAAGCCACTTCAGTTTAAAATGTAAAAAGTGGTTGCAAACATTTAGTTAGCTCAAAATATACAGTCCCTTTGTGATGATAAAACACACAAAGTTAATAGTAAGGGCTATGTGTCACATATTTAATAGGAGGGATTGCCAATGGTTTCTTATCTAATTCTCACTCCAACACTACAAATTATGAATTACTAGCTCAATTTTGTGGATAAAGAAATGGACACTCAAGGAAGTTAGGTGACTTATCTGAGGTCTTTCCGTAATTGAGGGGCAGAGTTGGCTTTGACTCAAGCTTTCTGACTAATACCCTACTGTTCTTTGTGCTGTGCTACATTGCCTTCTGAAGTCGGGCTGTGGTGACCAAGTTTAGAACCTTAAATGGTGTCTGTCAGGGAATGATCAAGATGGTGAAGAAGCCCCCAGCTGGCATGGGTGCCTATTGATTTCACAGAATAGCCCTGCATGTATCATTTTTCATGGTTCTCAGCAAAGGTCAGCTCTCAGTGGTGCAACTCTCTGCCTGGAAACAGAAAAGTTCAAATTTCAGCCCTGGAAGAGGGAAGAATGAAACTAGAGGTAGCAGTCAGATCACTCCTGCCGATTTTCATCTCAGAAAAGTAGGCACACAGGTGAGCCAAACATCTAGCTTTAAAAGGGCTGATTGGTAGGTAAAGTGAAATCAGCCTTGGGACAGTGAATCCCAGGACAATTTGGAAATGGTTGTAGGCTCCAAGCCACAAATTCAGCAGAAGCCTCAGAGAGGAAGATTATGATTTACATACCCCTCACTCTGAGAAGATTATAGGGAATCCCCTTGAATCTTATCCTGGGCCAGTTTGAACACCTTCAACATGTGGGAAACATTAGATGAAGGCTCCCTTCCAAGGAGGAAAACCCCTTCAAAGTGTGAAAAACCAGCCTCCTACAAACCCCAGGCCATAATTCTATTCAATGTAAAAGGCAGAGATGGTGGACTTACCTACCTTCGGGGGCCATACATGCTTTGTGACTTCTCTGTAAAGGAGAAAAGTCTGCATACGAACCTAATTCTAACCCTCGTGACCAGGTTTTTCCATTATCCCCTAAAGCCTAGAACTCCTTTCCTTTCACCTTGTCTCACATTTCCAGCTTTGCCTCCACTTCAGAAACAACTCTATCACTATCATTACGCTCTTTGACCCTTCATTGTGAAATAAAAGTAAAATGCCCATGTTAAAAGCAGATTGTGAACAGAAAATCCCTTCCATGTGCATTTTTAGTCTACTTGTGAATGGAGATTTTAAAAATATGTATTTCATGCCAAAATGTCTCAGAATTTTGAAATTTCGTGAAGTTCACAGGTCCTTCATGATATACCCATGGTAACTCAGATAGTTTTGTTTGGTGCTTTCACCCTCCCCAAATACCCTACACCAAGAGCAAGAGATATGTCTTGAGTTTGGAACATAGATAGCTTTGCTTCAGAATTAACCATTGTTCACCTCTTACCCTAAAGGAGGTGAGCTGGCTGCTGCCAATTTCAACAAGAATGTGTCTGAAATGTTCTCCTAGGAGAATCCTAGAGGATAATCATAATAGCTAATATTTGCCGAGGACTCTACAGGCATCATGCCATTTAGTCAACCATAGCTGCTAGTAAGTCTCATCACCCCACCCCATTCAAATATGCACAATGTGAGGCTGAAAATGCTTAAGGAGCTTACTCAATACCATGCAGAGAGTACTTGGTAGAACCAAAATGCAAACCCGGTTCCCAGTGAGAAGGTGGTTGTAACCATTTGGATGAGGAAGTCATGTTCAGCACCCTAATTCTATTCATCTTCTGACAAGAGGGAGGTGTAAACACAGCAAAGCTAAGAAAAACACAAAAGCAGCTGAGTGCGGTGGCTCACACCTGTAATCCCAGAACTTTGGGAAGCCAAGGGGGTGGATCATGATGTCAGGAGTTCAAGACCAGCCTGGCCAAGATGGTGAGACCTCGTCTCTACTAAAAATACAAAAATTATCCAGATGCGATGGCAGGTGACTGTAATTCCAGATACTCAGGAGACTGAGGCAGAGAATTGCTTGAAC